TTTGTTTTATTTCCCATGCCTAGCTTGCTCTTGGGAAGGGCTGAGCACCAGATTGATGCCATGTCAGTGGAGCAGCTCAGTATGGTTTGCAATCTGATTGCTAATCTGGTCTCATGTACAGTGACTCAAGAGCTGAGCTGCCTGTGCAAGAACATGCCCTTGAGGCAGTTCACGCTGGGGTTCTGGACTCTGTTTGCCTAAAGGACAATGAAAGCTAAGTTTCTTGACTCTTCTGTGCCTTTAGATTTCTCAATCTGTAAGATGGAAGTTTTAAATACTTGAGTTTGTTAGGTGCTTTGTTCACAACCAGTAAGTGTAAGGAATGGATTTGAGTCAATACAGGGTGCTACTTATTTTTAAGATGTCAGGTATCATCTGAAATGTTTTGCTGACGAGACTTCTTGAACTGATTTAACTTCCCTGAGAAAGTGGTCAGTATAATTTAGAGAGATGCACACCATTGGGCAGGGGTGATACAGACCATAAAGAATGTCTCATACATGGAAAATACTTTTCTGTGTATGTCACTATGAGAGTTTTGTGATGCTTGCTTTGTTTATCAACTGCCAGCCCCTTTGCTGTTACTGTACAATGTTATAACATCTAAGTATCTTCACACATCCTTGTGTTAGACCTTAATGACAATGCGGTTAGCAGCTCTGTCTTGGTTTCAGCTGGGATAGAGTTAGTTTTCTTTCTAGTGGTTGCTGTGTTTTCTGATTTGGTATGAAAGGAATGTCAATAATGCACATTGGTTTAGTTGTTGCTAGGTGACATTTATACTAGTTAAGGATTTTGCACATCCTTGTGTTAGACCTTAATGACAATGCGGTTAGCAGCTCTGTCTTGGTTTCAGCTGGGATAGAGTTAGTTTTCTTTCTAGTGGTTGCTGTGTTTTCTGATTTGGTATGAAAGGAATGTCAATAATGCACATTGGTTTAGTTGTTGCTAGGTGACATTTATACTAGTTAAGGATTTTGTCAACTTCCCATAGAAGCTGAGAAGGAGCATAGGCAGAACAAGGGAATGGTCAATGGAATATTCCATACCATACATGCCATGCTTGGTGTATAATGGGAGTTGGCTGGGGGCAGGAATCTGTGATGACTGCTCAGGTTGGGCAACTGATCACGGGGTGGTGAGAGTGATTTGTCTTGTATTTATTTTTTCCCTATTATTATTATTTTACTTTTCTGTTATTGTTGTATTAAACTGCCTTTATCTCAACCCATGAGGGTTTTTTTTCCTTTTTTTTCCCCTCTTTTTCTCCCCTCTTCTCCCTGCCCTTCTGCAGGGGAAAGGGGAATGTGTGAGTGGCTGCGTAGTCCTGGTTGCTGGCTGGGGTTAAACCACAATGAGCTCTAATGCTGAGCTGCTAACAAGATGGGGCTGGTGCGCTCCATGCTCCTGGTGTATGTTCTGGCCTTTACTTTTGAAATTGTACAGGATTGGGTTGATTTAGATTACGCCTTTTTGGAAAAGAAATCAATGCTGTATCCGGGAACCAGCCTGCTTCCTGCCATGGCTGCACAATGGCTAGGCCTTTCGTGAAGTTTAGGCACAGAGCAAAGGAGAGCAGGGATTATTTTGACATTATGATGTGATCAGCTTAGCATGTAGCTTAACATCACAGCTAAGCTATGTTAAAAGCCAGTGACTGAGCTGGTAACACAGTGATCTTAAAGAATGGCCTGGTGGATGATGTGGATCCTCACCTAGCTCTTACCTCTCTGTGCAACAAGTATCCAGTGCTGTTGCTTCAGATTTTCAGTTTGCTTTTCTCTTACTAGAGTAAAAATGTTCTGGGTCCAGGTTTGGCCTAGATATTTCTCACAGTTGGTGGCTGGCCTTCTGTAAATGACCACTGAAAATCTAATTTAACTTCTACTGTGTCTTTCCACCTTCAGTATCGATGATGGTCCCTGTCTGTCCTTAGGAGGTGGTCTTCTACCAACTCTGTAAAGAAGAACTTGTTTTTCAGATGCTTCAGCTCACATTCTGCTTGAGTGTATCTAGGTATATGTGTTGACTTCATTGTAGATGAAAGTCATGTTTCCTAGACTTTTAAGCACAGCCATGGGGCAACAGTTTTATGGGTTTTCTCTAACCATAGAAGTGTGTCACTTACAGTTCAGTTTTACAAATAGCTTCACTGTTAAGGAGTACAGTTCTTATCGCATGTGTTGAAAAAGTTGCAGTGTGTGTGATTTGTTTTCTTTTTCGTTGCTTTCTAGAGCTATAAATAAAACTCAGTTTGTGATAGTGTAAAGAGAAATTTGTTCTTTGTATCCTTAAATGTGCTTCTTACGTGGCAATCTACAAAGGGCTTTTCTAGCTGTGAAGCGTGTGATCAAACTTAGCAAACAAGCTGTTTCTTGGCTAGGATTTGCTTAGCTCTGAGTTGAATACAATATGTGTGATGCTAGATAAAATTGTCATTCCTCAACTCAGATTTATCAGTGACACTGTCTGAGGGACCATAATGGTACAAGTGACTTCTGTAGACAGCTCTCTAGAGGCTGCTTCACAGTCTTAGTTTAAATGAAAACAAAATGTTTCTTATGCCCTTATTCTAGGATATTAAACAATTTTCTAGAGTGACCTAAATAGAGGAAGAAATTCAAATGGATGGAATTGAGAACTTAAACACAAACACCCACACAAAGTAAAACAAAAAACCCTATGGCTTCTTTGTGCAAAGTAACTCATTCAAAGGCAGAAGACAAGCCCCTTGTGGTTGAGTCTCCTTTAAAAATATTGTAGAATGAGCCCTTCAAGCTTCTGCTGTATAGAATCATAGAATGGTTAGGGTTGGAAGGGACCTCAAAGATCGAGTTCAAACCCTCCTGCCATATATGAAACCCAAACATCTGTGAGTTGCAGCTTGTGGTATGAGCTAGGCCTTATGTGGCTTTTTCTGAAATATATTCACTACATTTTGATCCTATAACTTGTTCAGGGTTACATATTTGTAGGTGGAGAAAAAAAATCTAGGTGTCACTCTAAAACTGACAGCTACTTTTGTATGTAGTTTACTGTGACAGGTACTAAATAGCTCCTTAAGCTAACATCTTTTTAAAAACACCTTTTTTGTTACTTGTCACTTGTTTCTAGAAGACTGAATGGAAAAGCCATGAGGCATGCTTTTACAAAGACTGTGATAAATTCATGAAGATTTGATAAGAATTATTTTTTAGTGTTCATTTGTAAATCCTCAAAACTAACCTTCATGGTTCCTTTTCAGTACTTCTGAACTAGTTGGAATTTGTGGAGAAAGAGTGTATTTAAGGTTGTTGTGAACTGATGTTTGGTATGCGCACAGTCTGCACCTCCATCTGGATTAAAAAATCATGACAAGATAATCCAATTGAGATCATAATCTTATTTATAGCTCTGACCTTACATCCCAGGAAATGCATCAGTCTTCAAGTGAGCACCAGTACACAAATAACAAATTTGGGTAAAGGAGACTGTGAATGCTGCAGATGTTGTCTTAAAGTTGGAAATGACAAACTGGGATTTTTTTTTTTAACAGACTTGCAGAGTGAGGTGGAGGAGGAAATTATAGAAAAGTATCATTCCAGAAGAAGGGACAAGAGCCCTGGGCATGCAGGAAAGGTAAAAGCAGATGCTGGCAGCATGGGGCAGGGTCACTGCACCCCCCAAGGCAGCTGGAAAAGGAGCTGCTTGTGACAATCAGAGGTGGAGGTGCTTTTCCTGTGCTTCAGCAAAGTGGGCATCCAGGAAGCAAGTGGAGTTTGGCTTAATGGGGAAGCTCTCCATCTGCTGTCCTGAAGGAAAAAAGGGAAGCAGGGCTGTTAAGTGGTGTTTCTTCATGGCTGGGGATTCACAAGAGAAGTCACGCCTGGAGCAGTTGTAGTTTAGTTATAGAATGCTGGTGCCTGGTGTAAATGGTTAGAAATCCCTGTTAAATCTCACTCTATGATAGATCAACTTCTGCCCATCTTTACTTAATGCTGCCCTGGTAGAGTGCAAACCAAGATAGGCTGCCCTATTACTCTTTGTTCTGCTATTGACTTGGGATACTTTATTGACTCTGAAGCTGTTATTTTGAAGGATTTCTGTTATGTCTCAGTTTTGTTTCCAATTAATACTGATTTTTTCAGTTTGAGGATTTTTTTCTAGTGAACACAAATTTTATACTGGCGATGCAGTTTCTCTGCCAAGGTACAGGTTGTGTTATGGGAGCTTTGTCAGACATTATTTTGGCAGGGATTGGCCGTTTTGATTGTTGGCCATCTTTTTTAGTGAATTTTATGTTCGGCATATCTGTGGTCAGTGCAAGGCCCTGCCAGGTAAAAGACACACTCATTAACTTGTTTAATGTGAGCTTGGTATCTAACCAGAAAGTAACTGATGATCTACTCAATTATTCCACCTCTAAGTTCAGCCAGTTGTTCAGATTCCTAATCATTTATTTACCATCTTACGGGTTAGGTGGTATGTGCTCATGAGGCATGTGCATGTACAGATCCCTCTGTCTATCATGGGAATAAATATATCGGTTCCAGGAGCTCTGGTGTATTAGGTCATGATTGGATTTACCAAGTGGAATGAAAATAAAGCCTCAGATTCTTTCAGTGAAGCTGGACTCTCTTTTCAAATCAGTGATATACTAGGCTCTGGGAAAGCTCTAGTAGTTTGTAAACAAAGTAGATTGGTAGTTTGTAAACAAAGGTTAGAAGGATGTTTCCCTCTACCACTGATGTTTGTCTTAAGGTAATGGTTTTTAGAGTGCACTGAAATTGGGAGCTCACACAAGAAAACAGTTCAAATCAGGAACCTTAAGCCTAGCTCTTGTTGTACAGTTAAGGAAAATTAAGGTGTAAAGGATAGTCTGAAAGACTCACACTTGAGCATAACTCTTCTGTCACCCTGCCCTGCATGTAGGACTTCTTTCAGTTTACGGAGCACATGGATATATGTGTTTTGGGGGAGTCAGTTTTCTAAAATTAAATATTCTTGGCTTTTCTTTCCAGGGTCACATGATTCTTTCAGCTACTGGGTTGATGAAAAATCGCCTGTGGGACCAGACCAGGCCACAGCCATCAAACGTTTGGCCAGAATTTCTTTGGTTAAAAAGATAATGAAGAAATGGTCAGTGACTCAAAATCTGACTTTCAAAGAGCAGTTGGAAGGTGGCATCCGCTACTTCGATCTTCGTGTATCTTCCAAACCTGGGGAAATAGGACATGAGATTTACTTCATACATGGCTTGTTTGGCATCAAAGTATGGGAAGGGCTGAAAGAGATCAACACCTTTCTTGAGCAGCACCCCAAGGAAGTAGTCTTCTTGGATTTCAATCACTTCTACGCTATGAATGACAGCCATCACTTCTTCCTGATCGACAGGATCCGCTCGGCATTTGGATCCAAGCTTTGTTCCGTTGAATGTGTAGAGTACGTGACGTTGCAGTACATGTGGGAGAAGAAACACCAGGTAGGGAGAGGATGTATGATGTTTTCCAAACCCAAAAGGTTAAGGTTTAAATAGGGAGCCTGGGTGGTTTCCACTTAAAGGTATTGGCCAAGGACACTGCTAACAGCCAATTTAAAGCCCACTGGGGCCTCCTTTATGTAGTGTGTGTTTTTCCCTCTGTTTATTTGCAGCTGTGTAGCTCTTCCATCCGTGGTGTGGCTAGACTGCATCCTGCTCCCAAGCATGTTCCTTAAATAGTTAAATGATAGTGTCCTTGGAGCCTTGTGCTTCTTACAAATGGTTTTCCTTTCTGGAAGAGTGTGTTGTGCTGATTTGTGTTGGTGAGGATTTGATAAATTTGTCTTTTTGGCTAGTGTGAAGCATATAAGCTTTAACATGACGAAGGCATGGTAGAGAATTTCTTAGCTGCTTTTCAGGTATCCAGATCTGTAGTGGCAAGATTAAATGCCTCTTCTCTGTGGTAACTGCTCCCATGCATACACACAAACTGAGGAAAGGGTTTCAGCAACAGCATGTAATTCTTAAACTGTAAAATGCATGGGGCTTTGAGGAATTCCTCTGAACTGATGCTGTCGGTGCTGGGGTCCAAAATGAATAATTTGTAAGTTTGGGTGCTAATAAAAAGTGCTGCATCTTTGTGCTGTCCTCTTATAGAGAACCACTTTACAAGGCATAAAATGGTGACACTTGAATTAGAGAAGACTTTGCTGCCAGCAAGACTGACTGTGGCATCTCCTGCAGTAAGTGTGAGTGGAATGCCGTTGTGCCAGTCAGCCCGGTAGACTTCAGCCACGTAATAAGAGTTACGCAGAAGATGGCAAGACTGCTAAAATCCTTAACTTCAAGTACAGATGTAATAGTCTCTGACAGTGCTTTGAAATGCTTTTAAGCTGAAGTCTTTGAATAACATTTCAGTATACTCCTGGCAACTTTTTCACTTTAAAGGATGACCCTGAGAGCATCTCATTTGTCAGCAATAGTGTAACAAGCTTACTGACACTTATGTTGAACAGCTTCTTTTTGTTCTTTTTTCCCTGCTCTGCTAGCTGCAGCAGTACTGTATAAGCATAAACCAATGCAACATCCTGCCTCAATATAAATAACACAGCTGTGATTTTTTTGTTTACTTTTCTCCTTTGTTCTTTTTAGGTTCTTATATTCTACCACTACCCTTTGTATGAGGAATACTCCTTCCTGTGGCCAGGGAATAAAATGCCAGCGCCATGGGCTAATACAACCAATGTGCACAAACTCTTACAGTTCCTGGAGACCACTCTTGAGGAACGAAGTCGTTATGGGACTTTTCATGTTTCTCAAGCAATTCTCACGCCTCAAGTGAAAACGATTGCACGGCATCTAATTCGTGGTCTGAAGAACACACTTGTTCATAGGTAAGGACTTTATTTCTCACTTTTTTACTTTGTTTCATCTTGAAAGAGACATGGAGTAAGCAAGGAACTGACATGTTTGCTAAAGACTTAAGCCTTGCTGAAAACATGCCATTTTGCTTCATTACTATTGGTCATGTGAGATCTGCAGTCAATAAAAAGAATTGCTTAAAATCATTAGGGTATCTATATAAAGTATATGTGTGTGTATAGGGTATAACAAAGTATCTAATGTAAGTGTTAAGTGTTCTTCCTCATAATCGGAGCTCTTTCTGAATGTTACTTCATAAAGCATGGGCTGGAACTGTTGGTTCAAAACAATAATTCATTTCAAAGTAACTGAACTTGAATTTAGGGGAGGGGAAAAAAGCTTTTGCCACAGAGGAAAATTGCATATTTATGGACTTAGTTTTGCATTTGTTTGTACAAACCTGTCTAGTAATGGCCAAGGAAGTATGACAACAGGCAGTATTTTATCTTGGATTTTTTTACCAAAAATTAGATTAACAATTTCACTTTTTAAATACAACTGACTGTTGTTACAATTTACTTGGCCATTAGAAGAGGGGTTTGCTTTGAGTAGCACAGCGTGCCAGTGATTTTCAATAGTGTTAACAGCATGACCAGGATAGGTGCCATGTGATTTTATTTTATGGCGTTATCACCTTGTAGCCTGTTCACTAAAAGTTGCCATAACTGTAACAGCCCTGGTGGGATCTGGTCTCCTGGCTCACTGTTTAGTATTCCCTGTTTTGATGTCACTAACAGCTAATCTTGCCATAATGATATTAAGTTCTAAATTACACTTGTATAGGTGGTCACAACTGGTCTACTTTGATCAGCAACTAAAAATTAACCAGTGAGATGAACCAGCTGCTGAAGATGTATGTTTATGTTCCCCTTAGGAGAATTATTGGTCACTTTAGAAGCAATTACAGTATTATTATTTTGAAGTTAAAATCAATGTAACTTACTTTCTTAACCTTCTTTTCTATAAAGAGCAAGTGGTGTGCTTTTGCAGTCACAAAGGTTGTTGATGGAAGTAAGGAAATTCCAGGTGAAGTATAAATCATGGGAGTTCTGTCTCCTTCCTGTTTACAGACGTTAATCTAGCAAAAGATAATTAAATCCAAATGGTGTTTGCTGCAGTATATTAGTGTCTCCACTCTGGCTTGGGGCTTTGCCCAAGTCTGCTCAGTCACCAACAGACACTAGATGGCGCTCCGGGGCTTTGACTGGCGTGTGCTGGCACAAGTGGCACAAGTGTAAATACGGATGCTGCTTGAGGGTACTTAACAGCACGGATGTAACTAGCTCTGCATACTGTGTATTAAAGGTACTGTTGTCTTGTGATTAAAGGAAAGAGCGCACTGAATTTCTATTTTAGAGCTAGTAAAGAATCATGCGATTTCATGGAATGGGCAAGCAGTTTTGTTTCAAGTGACTCACGGCACATACCTGAGCTGTAAGCCACTGGAAGCCTGCCTTCACTCCATCCCTTTCCCCGGGCCCCATCGTCACCACTTGTTCAAAAGTAAACTGAAAATTTAAATTAAAGGCAACTGTTTGCTAAAGCATTATTGCTCATATACATTTACACATGCTAGCTGATTTGTATGTGTAAATGTCTTTGCAGTTCCATGTAGGTGTCTGCCTTCTCATATGGAAACTTTGCCCTGAATATGCGTGTTTAAGTGTAATTGAACTCTTGCTAAAGGAGAAATGTGCAACACTCACATGTAGCTGGCTAAAGCCTGTGTCCATTAACAGAGACAGTAATTATGCCTCCACTCAAGTTTTCTCTTCTTTTGATTCTTGACAAGATCTTCTCTTTTCTGGAACAAGAGCTATGGGGTGTTCTTAGGGGTTTTGTTTTTTCTTCTCCATCCTGTTAGCTAATTTGCCTACCATCCTCTCATATAATTTTGTATGCATGTTTTGGCACTAACTTGTCTTTAACTATGCTGAAAACCCTGTGGTTTGCATGTTCAAGTGCAAAAAAGCTTGTGCAGACTCTTGACTTGCACTCTGTCCAAGAAATGATTTGAAATTTCTCCCTATGGTAGAATTTCTAACTCCATTTAACTTAATTCCTGACACACCTCACCTTTCTCTGTTTAGTGATGTATGGTGGGATGTTCAACACCTATGGACCTGAGGGCTTGATTCTTGGGTTGGTTTCCCTGGTCCTGTTGCTCTGGGTGGGTCTGGAGGCTGAAAAGAGTTTGGTAGAAATGTAGTGTGCTGCCCCAGCAACTTTTTTCCTCCCCACCCTAAGGTGGAGGTGGGCAGGGGAACATCTTGGGCCTTGCCTTGTGCTACACTGACATCTGCTGTGAGGATAAGCTTTCAGTTTAATGTGTACTTGAGCAAAACCAAACCACTGTAGTGCAGTGTTAAATCCTGAAGCACGGTCTGCTCAGGGAAAACAGAGTTCACAAATGTTACTTTGTGTGTATAGTATTTTGGATTAATGATTGACCCATATTTGTTTGAGAGCTAATTGACTGTATGCTATGTTAAAGGCTCTTCTCATCAAGCTAGTTGCATTTTGGGTACTAGTTAGGACCTGATCACAAATGTGAAGTAATAACATAATTTGCAAACAGCATGATATATTTGAAGTAGAGTGTGTATATAGAAGAGTCTCTTAAAATGTCTAATTTTCTTTATTTCACTTTCTTTAGGAACCTGCCCATGATTTTAAATTGGGTGAAAGCACAGAAACCAGGTGTTATGGGCGTTAACATTATTACATCAGACTTCGTGGAGCTGGTTGACTTTGCTGCTACAGTTATCGCATTAAACGACCTTCTTTTAGAAGAGGATGAATCTGCAACTAAATCCTGATTGCTGGGTCCCCCTTGTGCTCCTCAGTGGACATCTTTGAACTATGCTAAATGTTTTATTTAAGCAAAACCTACTGTAATATCTGTTTATTTAAAAAAAGTTTTCTAGAGGAAACGTGGTTAAACAGCACATACAGGCAGGTCCCTTCTCCCAGTGATGTGTGGATCTGAGGGGAACACAACGTGCTGTCTGTCCGTGGCTACGTGTTGGACTAAGTTATGTGCACATCTGCTGCAGTCCAGCATGGTGTCTGCCTGCCAACAAGAGGCTGGCCTCTGAAGCAGATGTACCCGATTATGCTGCGTGTCTCCCTGGTGACTGGCCTCACCATCCCCTCCTGTGCCCATCCTGCTTATTTCTCACCACCAGGACTCAAACCAAGGATCGCTGCTGATCCCTTAGCAGCAGTGTGACCAGGGTGACCGAGATGGTATTGCTCTTGAGCCACCTCAGGTGTAGCTGGGCTCAGCTGGAGGCTGCTGCTGTATTCATTACTCTGTCTGAGACACTACTTCTGACTTACTTGAAGAAAGAACATTGTCGTTGTTCAGGGGGAAGCTTTTACTCTGTGGTGAATATCCAAACTGTCCTTTGGGCCTGAGAGGTGACGTCTTGGCACCCTCTGCCTCTTTGGACTCCAAACTCTTCCTCTGGACCTCTTCGTTTTCCTTTAATATATCTATTGCAACTGTGTTTAACTGTGTCTCTTTTGGCATTTATTTGGAGACTATTTCAGCCTTCAAATTATTGGGATCATAACTTACAAGTCTGAATTCCTGTTGTGAGACTTTGAGAAATCGCAGTGTAACCTTTCTCTTTTGCTTGCTGGTCATTTGTTTTTTCCATCCATTGAGTTTTCCTTGGGGGAAAGTCTCTCATGGAGACGGCCTTTCTCTGGAAGGAGGTGGGCTAAGTGGGAGTTTGCTTGGTATTCAAGGAACTGGAACTGACAGGGACTGCTCAAAATCCAAATATTGACTCTCTGATTTGCAATGTGTTGTGACTGTTGTCAGAGAGCCACAGTGATGGGTGAGAATTTTCCCCAGCCTGCACCCACTTGTGATAAAGTAAGCAATAATCTCACAAACACAGGCAGGTGTCAGTGCTGCTGCTTTCTGTAGTCATACTGTTTTGTGTTGATTCACAGCAAAAAGTGACCATGTGTGCTTGAGCTAATGCAGTCACATGTTAGTACTTACCAGCGCTTAACTGACTAGCTGATAGCAGTCTTGCAGTCTGATTTCTTTGGTTAAAAGAAAACAACAATGAAACACAAAAGTTGACTAATTAGCAGGTACTTCTCTGCTCAGTCATCTTTCTATAAAGCAACTTGGTGCAGTAATTGCTTGGTGATTATGAATTTGTATTAATCTCTAAAGATGACCCATTCTATTGTAAATAGCTTATAGCTATTTTATTCAAAAGAAAAGTGAATTTTCAGATTTATTATTTATTGTTATTTTATGCTGTGTCTGCTATCACCATCTGACAGCCCAGAAAAACCCAAAACCTCTTTGCTTGTCACAAACTGTGAACTCAGGACAAGTTTATCTACAGATTTGTAAACCTTGCCTGTGAACCTTGGCCAAGTTCTGAGCAGACTGTAACCTGATTTATCTGTTTGTTGCATGGTTTTCATTAGAGTTCCTCAAATTTTTTTAACCAAATCCTTTTTCTAAGGGAGTTGGGGGGTGTCTGTCTTTTAAGCTGTCTTTCTCCTTCCCTCTTGTGTTTTGGTCATGGGGGGCAAGTCATGAAAATCAGTTTTTTGGGAACTAAAGTTCAAATTTCTAGTTTAAAACTTCCTTTGAAAACCCCAGCAGAAGGTTTTTATTATTTTGGGTTTTTTTCTTGTTGATGAAACTGTTGGAACCCGTTGTGAACAACAGTATTTTGTTGGAAAAGTTACTTAATATACCTAGGTTTTCCTTAGCTGAATTTTGTGTTAACCTACTTCTCTTGTGGCCCCAACTGAAACTTCACAATAGTGTTAATTTTATGGGTTTGGTTTCAGTGGTCTTTTAGCTGCAAATTGTCTTAGAGGTCAGAAAAACTTGTTTTGAATGCTGATGAGGCTGAAATAGTGTTTGCAAGGTTTCCTGCAGAACTGGAGGACAAGGTGAGAAGGTGCAGCAAGTATGATGTTTGTGTTAGACCCTTAATATATTGTACTGTATATATCTACCTCAAAAGAGATTTATCAGGCTTAACCAATATTTATATTGTGTGTGCACAGCAACGACTGTGGTATTAGTCCTTCGTTGTATTTATTTGAATAGAGATGTGATGGTTGTAACTCAGGGCTTTGGTTAGATATTTTTAACTACAAACTCAGAAGTTTCTCTTAACACGTTGGCTGTTAGCTCTTGCCTCTTGAAATAGGATAACGGCATGCTAGGTGTTAAGAGTGTTAGCAGAGGGAAAATAAATGGAAAATAGCTTTAGGATTAATGAAGTGAGGAGGGAAAAAAAACGCATTTCTGTAAGTTTGGCCTGTCTAAAGACTTGCGTGTCATTTCAGAGCAGTGCTTGATGTTATGCCTCTATGTGAGGAACCTGAAGGTCTCACTACTGAGTTGGGTAATTGGCAGATACAGTTGTCTGCAACAGGGTATCTCCTGTGGATTACTCTGGGCAAAATTAATGCTGGTGTATAGAATTAGTTTTAGGGTAGTCCTAAACAATCTTAAGCAATATGAACTACCTTCCTTGTGCTACGCATTATAGCCCATGACAAAACTACCTGTACAGTAGGCTTATCTGTCTGACACAGCACCACAACATACCCAGATTTCCTCTCACTCTGCAAAACGGAACTCACCTAGACTTTATTTTCTGGCATTATAAAAATAAAAAGGTGAGCTGGGCAGGAAGGGAGGATCAAGGAAGTAGGTTGGAAATTTGCATGCAGTGCCCATATTGAAGGTGTGGTAGTGTTTAGCCAGGTTTCAGGAGCAGGTCTGGGAGGTGAGTGGCAGTGGCTGCAGCCCCTGCTGAGAAACTGGTCTGAGAGTCTGGCCTCTGAGTGGGCTGCAGCTGAGTACAGAGCAACTAACAGCCTGCCAAGTCATGTATGTGTGAGCTTGAGGAAAATAGATTGGCATGAATGCAGGAGAAGGCGGGGGGGTTCCTTGCAGGTCTGCATCAACACCATCTGTTGAATACAGTGGTTGTCCTGCTTGTATCTTCCCAAAGCAGTAGGGTTCACTTCCAAACAGGTGAGATGGAAAACTCTCCCAGAAGAATTGTTCTCAGGACTTACCTGCTCTGTAGGTGCTAGAAGAAAAGCCAGGAAACTAGTAGCTGCTTGAGGCAAAATACTTACTTGAATTGCATGTTCTTGAATAATTACTTGCGTGGTTTGTTATTATAAATTCAGGTTACTTATACACTGTTCTCTGACTTGTTTCTCTTCCTAATGTGCAGTCACTGAATGCCAGGCACACCGGTGGTATGCCTGTTCTGCTGGCACTGGTCCTTGCCATGTGCAATTCAAGGGCATACCTGAGGCATAGGAGACCTCTGTATGTATCCCTGATGGGAAGCAGCAGGGAGAATGTTGCTAGGAAGCATATATAAGGTTTTTAGTGTCTTATTGTTTGCTTGTATGTGAAAACAAAGGAGTTATTAGGAGTTATTCAGACTATCAATCTCTCCACTCCTTATTTGGGAACTGCTGTCTTGATATATGTATAACTGCAGAGGTGGGAGTCATAATGCTGGTTGTTATGAACAAAAGACAGATTCCTTCTGTCCCACTTGATCTCAAGAACTGAAGGATTACCAACTTGCATGTGTTTGCTGTGCTGGAGGGGATCCCACTGGAGGCAGCTCTGGCAAGGCAAGTTTCAGGGGTGCTGTGGTCAGTGAGAGAGGTGAGACTAGGAGTCTCTACAGCAGAAATGCTGACTGCAAAAAGGGCCCTTTTCTGCTAAATAAATTCTCTGGGGAAGAAAGGAGCAACTCGGGGAAATAGTATCTTTGCTCCTGACACATGCTGTTTTCTGCTGCGTTGGTACTGAGTTAGTAGGTTGCTGTTTAGAAAGCACCTGTGCTGTAAAGCTGAAGGAGCACTTTTGAGCAGGGATTTTTGGCTCAAACAAGTAGAGCATCTGCCAAGATGCTTATCTGTTGTTTTCATCTGGCTAAGCCTTTGGAACTACTTATTTTGTGTATTTTCCTCAGGTGTCAGAGTTCATTGTTTTTTCTATTATCTAACAGACCAGGGTTTAGGACTTTTAGGGATAAATAGTGGACATAACCATTTTGATTTAGAACTGGATTACCCATGGAAGACTGACAGAACATGTGACTTAAGGTTTACTTGAATATATGATATTTAATAAAGAGTCCAGATGCACTTTTAATAAGACTTTCATCTAGTCTTAAGCATGTTGTTACCAAATATCATAAGTAATGTCATTGGTCAGAGGACCACTGTCTGGGACAAAAATGAGGCAAATTTTCAGTGTTTTGTTGAGCACAGAGAGATTGTCTAACGTGAAGAACAGAACTAATCCAAAACTTCATTCAAAATTCATACCAGGTCAAGGTGTAGTGCTTTCGACAGTGGAAAAGTTTTGGTGTGGTTGTTTTTTTTTTTTTGCTTTCCTGGATGTCTGATAAATTCTTATTACAACTTTGTTTTTTGACTCAACAGATGGGTAGAAGAGCCAGAGCATATGTGAAGAGCAAATTTTATGCTAAGGACATGTATGTTGGGCTTAGTCATACCTTCCAATGATAATCCTGTTAGCTGTTTGGTTTCGGTTGTTAATTCAGTCTCTATTTCATAATAAAAAAATCAGTCCCACTGGTTCAATATATCTGTCTTGTTGAAGAAGCCTGTGTACTTCTATCAGCATATTTATTTCTCTACAAGTCTTACCAAGTAAACAAGCTTTAGCTTTTAAGTATAGGGACTGGAATAGGAATGTCAGCTTTAGAGCTGTTTGCTGAATCTAATTATATTTTATATAACTGAATATTTATGTATTTTGTGGTGTTTATTGAAACAGTACTTCTCTTACCCTTTGTTAGACCTGTGATAACTTCCTCTGTATCTCACTTAAATTGAACTGCAATGTGTTCTGAATTGTAAAACAGTATTGATCAGTACATTCTATATAAAAATAGTTTTCATGGTTCTTTGATTTTGCTAAATGTCAAATTTATTTTGGAGTTGGATTTTTTTATTTGTACTATTTATACTTTCTTTGGAAGTGGGCAGAGGGAACCAGGTGAAGAGTTACCTTTTCCCAATTTGTATTTTGTGCAGCTGCTCTTCTTTCTCTTGGCAGCTTGTGCTTTACCCACACTGTCCAATTCAGTTTTGTAAAACCAGGATGCCTCATTTGAACTGCAGATAAACTTGGGGTTAACATCTGTTTCTTTGTTTTACTCTGCATCTATATCACTGGGGTTTTTAATCCTGAGAATAAAAGTACAACTTGAGCTAATCATCCTTATTCTGTATTCTGTGATGCTGACTGTTTTGATAAACAAAGATTACATTGTGAGTCTGTTGACATCAGCTGAGCTCAGTTACTGATGCAGAATGGTGTCATTGAGGGGGTTTTTTGAGGTCCCACATCTTGCTGCACTTGTGTACCCTGGGTAGTCAGGTCTGGATGATGTTTATTTTGAAGACATGCTGAGGACCTCTCTGTGGCAGTAACAGTGCAAAGTGATTAGAAAACTTGGAATGCTTGCAGTTGCACGCATGCACAGTTGCACCTCTGCCTGAACACACTGGAGCTAAAGCATGCTAATGCATGGACCCAGTTGTATCTTGAAAGGCAAGTACAGTTTTTGTGCTGCATTTCCTGCTGTAGCACAAGTGATGAAGCTCCATGGTAACGCTTGATCAGGCAACAAAATACTGATTCCCAGAGCCTGGGCTAATGTTGGATGCTTGTAACCCACTGAGATCAGTGAGACCCTTCCTTTGGGTTGTTTTCAGCTTCTCCATCTTGAGAATGTGGGAGTACCAGGGGCAGGGAGAACGGGGAACAGATGACCTGAATTCCCTTGTGTTTTCAGACACTGGTAACTGATGGGAGCTGTGTCTGTGGGTTTTGGTGGTTTGTGTTTTGTTTTTTTTTAAATCCTAAAGGTAGAGCTGGAAGTTCAGATTCTAATCACTGGTGTCCCTTCCTGTTGTCTCAGACCTCAAGGTAAGTGTTTACAAGCGAGACTAACTTAACAGTGACTCACACACATAGCTGGCCATGGTCTCAGTAACTCCTCTGAAATGTGCTGTAGGCAGGGTGTGTGCCACTAGTTTTTACAGAATGTGTACCTAGGCAGTATAAGGCTGATGTGAATAGCATAAGATGCCAGTGTGTGTAAAAAAAAAAAAAAAAAAGTTGATGGCTAAATAGCTTGCAGTAGCAGTAGTACTCTTTTTTTTTATTCCACTCCCCCCCTCCAGATACTGTTTCCCCAGGTCAGGAATCATCTACCTTAGGGGGATTTCAGTTGGAAGAGTGAGCATGATTTCATCATATTGCTTCCCTAGGGGGTTTAATAGATTATTTTTTTCAGCCTGCGTGCCTTTCAGCAATGCTCCATGAGGGCACACGGGCATGTACATGCACATGTATGCACGAAGTAGATACCTTGACATGAAGTGTATAATGAGACTGCAAAAAAATCCCGCATGTTCTGTGGCAAATTTATGCACGCCCTTTATACCGAGTTCCGCCGTTGCCGCAGAGCTGTGATTAGCTGTTCAAACAGAGCCAGTCCCCAATTGCACGTGGCTTGGTATTTGCCTTGTAGGAGATACTGCTGAACCTGCGTGCAGATGTTTAGCAGTGGAGGACAAACTCCTCTGTGCTGTCTGAAGGAAAGCCAGCTTGAACACCCGGTGGCTGCTGCCAGCTGCTCCTGTTCCACATGTAGCTGGAAGGTGAGCAAAATGCTGGCAGGCTCTGGAGCTGAGTAATGGTAAGGTCACCGATTCTTCTCATCAGTTAGGTGACACACCGGCCATTTTCATTAGACTAGAAAAGCGTCTGACCCAAAAGCCTCTCTCCGATTTAAATGTAGTAAGCAGGATTAGTTTGTCAAGTTCTTAGGTGAGCAAATGCTGGAAAAGGAAACTAATTGATTTTTGAACTGCTGGTTAATGAGTCCAGCTGCTGATCTCGGGGATCCAGAGTTTGATTCTTGTTTCTGTTCTACTCAGCTGGTAGCAGTGCCACTGCCTGAACTCGAGACAAAGTGGAGTCGTCTGAAGAAGACAGTGAGAGTGACCAGGATCATTAACAGGTAACTTGCTGTATAGATAAGCTGTTAAGATGATTGTGCTTAAAATCAACTTTCCCTCAGTTTAAAGACTTGCTTTTAATTTAAAGCAATGGTTGCTTAACGTAGGAAATGGATGGCTGTTTTTCCTATCTTCTTGTATATCTCATCTTCAGTAGAAATTAATATACCTTGCAGGAAGACTTGTAGGATGATGTGTCTGCTTGAGGGAACCTGAGCTGTATAGGTTTCTATCTGCAGGTTCAACAAAAATTTGGCCTCAGTGAGTAGGTACTGTTCCTTTCAGCAACCAGTGAGAACGTGTGCCTGTGGCCAAACTGTTTACATGGCCAAATTTGTGAATTAAAAAGTTTTCAGCATAATTACCTATGGCCTGAAATTCCATATGGTTGTGAATTAGGTAGTACCTCAGAGGGCAAATGCTTCTCTTGGTGGCTTTGTGATTATTTTTTTGTTTGTTTTCAGTAGTTTTTTAAAAAACGGCTTTGTTACAAGATACCATTGCTTAGCCTGGTTTCTAATTTAGAAGCAGAATTGGTGCAGGGGTGATTTTGTGCTCCCATATCTGCAGTGAGCAGTTACTCGGTGGAAGAAAGGAAGCACCTGGTGGTACCTTAGGCACTAGAGCATCAAGGTAGCTAGTCTGTAGTTGCATAAAGTGGAAACTGTATGACACCATGTTTGGTGCAGATTGTCCCTTTGTAATTGAGGCAGACACCTTAGCTGCTCGATGAACCTCTGAAAGATTTCTTTCTGGTGACTTGGGAGATGCTGAACAACAAATGAGTTGGTTTGATGAAGGTCAGTTCAAACAAACTGACCTTGACTGGTGCGTGCAAAGCCCAGATAGTATCTCCCGCTTGGGTTTGAAAGGGTAACTTCTGTGTTTGATCAGAGCTGTAGATGCCTTTGGTGTTTCGTCTTGGTTAATCACGAGGAAGTTTTGATACTGTTTGTGGCAAATACTGTTTGGGTCGCTCAGAAGAGGGGCACACAAACAGCAGGCTGAGCTCTGTCCCCCCAGCCCCTCACTTTGTACTGCAAACAGACTTTGGCACTTCTGATGTTTTTGTAACGCTTAATACCAATTCCTCTTGGGTTGAAAATCTGGGAATGTAAAGTACAGAAGCAATTGAGAGTGGAGTTTTTTCTATCGTGTTGCTTCTTGCAAATAGGCTTTAAGAAAAGGGAAATAAAAGACTGCCTGAGGGGATGTTCCTCCCCGCATCAAAGTCATCATCTGCAGACTGGGTGGAGAAAAACATACATTGTTTGTTTGGTGAGGTCTGTGTAAATGAGAATTAAGGATGGTAAAAATATTTTTCTTGAACTTTCTGCTACTGAGTATTCACTTTTCTTTTTTTGCTCATAGCAACTGAGCTAAGGGTTGGGTTTTGGTATTCCTGGGGTTTTTTTCCAGCTTGAAATGGAAAAACCTAAAATCATAAGAGCAAAAAAGAAAGAGACAAAAAGCATCCTCAGAAAGAGAGGCTGGAGCAGTGGAAAGGGAGGAGGAAAGGTATGCAGTAGAGATAGTGCTGCAACTTGCCCTTTGGAATGGAAAATAAGGCTCTTTTGGTTTGGGGCTTTTTTTGAGACAGAACAAATTATTACACAAAGTTTGCTCTTTGAATCACATCCAGTACAAAGTTCATCTGATATGTTAAATGCAGTTCCAGGTCTACAAAAGTGCTGAATTTGACTTGATTGCATCCTTTGAAAGACTACACTGGCAGCAAATAAAATACACGTGCCAGGCATTTCTCCTGAGAAAAATAACAATTGCTAGTATTTCAGCCTAAATATCTCAAATGCCAACAGTTTTTTTTCTCTAGCTTTGCATTTCTTAAAGGAGTCATGATTTGAACTCTGAAGCTTTAGAAGCAGCCAACTCATCCTGGTCATCCAGTGGTTACTGCTGGAAAATGTGCTTTGGTGATTGCCAAAACAACAACAACAAAAAGTGTGTATCACAAAGATAATCCCCTTCTGGCCCTCCACAAATCTGCCTTGAAAACTGCCGTTATTAACAGGATTGTCTGAGGATGAATGACACAAGCTGTCTCACCAGGCTTCCCCCTTTGTTGCACGCTGCAAACATGTTTATAGAGGGATGAACCAGTATTTCTCAAGGCTGTTTTCCCCCTGTGCAGCCTTACACAACGCTGACAACACTTGAAACCAGAGATACCCTTCAAGGCTTTAAGATTCAGAATGAATCTGAAACTCAGTGTAGGTTTTCTGAAAGATGTCCCCAAAGGAAGAGCAAGGCTGCTGCAAGGGCAGCTTGCACTAGCAACAGTTAATATAATCTGGAGGATCCTAGTAACTCCTAGAGGTAATTGTTTGCTTTCATAGTACTGTAACTGGAAAGAGATTTGGCAGTGCCATCTTCATGCCACCTGGATTTTATGCACAGTGGTTATTGTGCTCCCAGATGGTTATTTCACTGCCATCTCCCAGAAAGAATTACTAAAAACTGGACTCCTAAAAAATTGCTTGTTTATGGCAATAAACTAGATAATTACAATCTTTTCCTTTTGTGTTTATTGCCAGGAAAAAGAACTTTTGAGTAGCTTAATTTCCCTTCTGCATTTAGTTCCTTCCTCCTGTCTTGGGGCTAGGTTTGTTTCCTTTCCAAGGCTGAAGGATAATGCAGGCAGTGTTAATAACGTGCACCAGGGAGCCCGCTTCGCAAGATCGTTATTACAGTGAAATTCTGTTTACCTAAAAGTAAAATGAAAGAATTGACCAGTGAATTTGTTCTCTGTTCTTTTACAACACTCAGAGCAAAAGAAGCTGTAGAAGCTATTACAGCGATGCTTTTAGCAGAGAATGAGGGAAATGAGCTGAAAATCAAGCCTCTGGAGGACACTGGAGCTCCCACTAAATCTGTGTGCTTCTGTAGATGGCTAACAAGCAGTCAACTTAAAATCCTTGTTTTCCTGCCCCGCTGGCTGTGAGTGTCTAGAAAAGATGAGAAGGAAAATCCTTTTTACTGTCCACTTTACCACTTTACTGTCCACTGTCCACTTTACCACTGAAATGTGATGTTTAATAGGCAGGGGAGCAGTAGTACATACCTGTCTCAAGGGGCACAGGGTGGTAGATCCAGAGGCTCACCAGCATGGTGTGCCAGGTCTCCACCATGTGCTTTGTCATGGTTAGAGACATGCAGTTGCCGCCTCCT